CTCTCTTTCTCTCCCTTTCTCTCTCTCTCTCTCTATCTCTCTCTCTCTCTCTATTCCTCTTTCTCTCTCCTTCTCTCTTCTCTCTCTCTCTCTCTCTCTTCTCTCTCTCTCTCTCTCTCTCTCTCTCTCTCTCTCTCTCTCGCTCTCTCTCTCTCTCTCTCTCTCTCTCTCTCTCTCTCTCTTCTCTCTCTCTCTTCTCTCTCTCTCTCTCTCTCTCTCTCCCCCTCTCTCTCTCTCTCTGCCTTGTAATACGTGAGTTTTGAGCACTTTTATTTACCTTTAGTTTTATTTGTCTATATATCCTTTCTGTCTGCCTATCCATCTGTCTGTTTATATCTACGCTATATACATTTGTACGTACGCGCGAGCGTGTGTTAATGTGTATCTGTGTGTGTGTGTGTGTGTTTGTGTGCGTATGCGTGTATTTGTGTGTGTATGTGTATGTTTATGTGCGTAAGTATGCTTACGTGCGTATGTATAAGTGTATTCATGTTTGTGTGTGTATGTGTATGTTTATGTGCGTAAGTATACTTACGTGCGTATGTATAAGTGTATACATGTTTGTGTTTGCATTCATATATTTATTTGCATTTGGGTATAAATGCTTATGTACCAGCATATTGCCTCTGCACGCAAAGCCCCCTTTCACGGTGTGCAATCCTCCTCGTTGCAGACACGCCCCAGGTGAACCTCGCCATGGGGAGCAGCCTCATCCCCAACACCATCAAGGAGGGGGATGACGTCTACTTCGAGTGCAACATCCACGCCAACCCCTGGGTGTACAAGGTCGTTTGGTACCACAAGGTAAGGGCGTGCCGGTGACTCACTCGTGGGACGTATTTTTGGTACTTATTTCTGTTGTTGTTCGTGTTTTATTCTTATTACTGATTTTTGATTGTTTTTTTTTCTGCTAATATCATTCTGAATATTTCTGAACTGTCTCTTTTTTGCTTTTGAATCATTAATTACATGAATCTGAACCTAATTTCTGTTCTTATTACTTTTCTGTTTTAACGAATGTTTTTGTCATATTTTCTGGACCTGATATCTGTTCATACATACACACACACAAACACACACACACACACACACACACACACACACACACACACCACAACACACACACACACACACACACACACACACCACACACACACACACAATATATATATATGTATATTTATATATATATATATATATATATATATATATATATATATATATATTATATATATATATATATATAAATTTTATTATTAATTTTCTTTGAGCGTTTTTGCCTTTTCAAATCATTCATTCCAAATATTTTTTAAACTGAATTTCCGTTGTCCGTCTTCTCTCTCTCTCTCTCTCTCGCTTTCTCTCTCTCTCTCTCTCTCTCTCTCTCTTCTCTCTCTCTCTCTCTCTCTCTCTCTCTCTCTCTCTCTCTCTCTCTCTCTCTCTCTCTGTTTACTGAGCCTAGTTTGCCTGTTAGAAATCATGCATTATGAACATTTCTGAACCGAATTTATGTTATTCTATTCTATAATCTTTTATTTATCTATTTTATTTTTATATTCTTTTAATAATGAGCTTCTTTTTGGCGATTACTCCCAGGGCGTCCAAGTCCAGCACAACGTGTCTGCGGGCGTCATCGTGAGCAACCAGAGTCTAGTCATACAGCGCGTGCAACGTCAGCAGGCCGGCCTCTACACCTGCGTGGCCTCCAACATCGAGGGCGACGGGCAGAGCAACGCCGTCAACCTCAACGTGCAATGTAAGTGTGATTGCTTCGCGGTAAAACCCCCACACTCGCTCTTATAAACAAGTCTGGGTATTTGCTGAGCCCTTTCATTCGCTATATTTAGGTTCGCTTCAGTTAAAACTTTGAGATTGCCGGTAAATCCTCTTTTTTTTTTTTACGAGGATTTGTGTTTAAATATGGTTACTTTATTGTTTTGCCGAGGAGTGGGATTCCAGGATTAGAGTAAAGAGGTGTGGGAAATACTTCTCAGATATGATAATTACAAGGCTTTACAAATATTCAGTAGAGATTTTATTTAAAAAAAGAAGAATATATGTATGCATTTTTCATGGCAAAGAAATCTCCACAAATCTTATTGAAACCCTATTTCCGGCCTTCCCTATCGCCGGAGGACATCTCATCCTGCCTCCCTGTTATTTCTCCCCATCCCTTTGCCTAATACCTTGTAATCTTGTCTGCCAGTCCCTTCGCTTACCTTTGACTTCGACTCTCTAATTATCCTCCCCTGCCATAGTGAGGGGCTGGAGGGGCCTTTTTACCTACCGCGTGTAATGCCGCGCTTATTCCTCACTCCCGCCGGGCTCACGTCCTTCCTCTTTGCCGCTGCAGATGCCCCCGTGTGCAAGACGGGCCAGACGCACGTGTACGGCGCGGCGCGGCACGAGCAGGTGAACGTGACGTGCCAACTGGACGCCGTGCCGCCCGCCGTGCACTTCTACTGGAAGTTCAACAGCAGCGGCGAGGTGGTGGATATCCCGGAGAACCTCGTGAAATCGAAGGACCTGGAGTCGTCCCTGTCGCACATCGCGAGGACGGAGCTCGGCTACGGAACCCTGCTGTGCTGGGGGAGCAACAGCCTTGGACGGCAGAAGAAGCCCTGCATCTACAAGGTGATTCCCGCGGGCCATCCCGACCCTCCGGAGAACTGCAGCCTCTTCAACCAGACGACGGAGGCGCTGCGGATACGCTGCTTCCCGGGCTACGACGGAGGGCTGCAGCAGAGGTTCATCATCGAGGCCTTCGAATCCGAGACGGACAGACTGCTCCTCAACATCACAGAGAAGTCGACCCCCGATTTCACGCTGACGGGGCTCGAACCGGGAGCGTCCTACCTGCTCTACATCTACGCCGCCAACGAGAAGGGCATCAGTGACAAGCGGCGCATGCAAGGATACACACTCAGAGACGTAGCCGAGAGGCGCACCGCCCAGGTACGACCTCCTCCCGAAGAGCTCATGTCGTTCACGCCAATCATCGCGGTGGTCGTGGGGGTCCTCGGCTCCCTGGTGCTCGTGGCCATCACCTCGGTGGTCGTGGTCAGCCTCAAGAGGAAGCGTCGGCGCCCCAGGAACAAGACGGTCGCTCTGCCCATCCAGACGTCGCTGGCGGACTCGCGCGACCTAGACGACAAGAACCCGGACTTAATTCCCGCGAACGGTAAGGGTTGTGGGGCTGGTGTCGAAGTGGGCTTCTCTAGACATGTATTCCTTCGTGTATTGATTTTTCTCCAGCAGATAACGTTGCATTAGAGAGGGTTAGAATGGGAGAGGGAAAGGGAGGGAGGAAAAGGGAGAGAGAGAGAGAGAGAGAGGGAGAGGGAAAGAGAGAGAAAGAGATATATAGAGAGAAATAGGGAGGGGGATTTCTGTTCTCAGATAGAGATAGATAGACAGACAGATAGAGAGAAGAGAGAGAGAGAGGTCCAAATAAACGGAAAATCCAAACGAAAAGGAAAGAAAAAAAAGCAAATTGACATAAAACATAATTGACAAAATACTCCTTACTACACAGCCCAAAAGCCCCCTTTTCCCCAGCCTGCAGAACAAATACACATCCTTCCTCTCGCCCTCCAGGTAACAGCGAGACGGAGAACAAAAGTCCCACAACTCCAGAAGAAGGTGGCTTTGGGAGCGTACATATCTGTGCCTCCGTGCCCTACCCTAGCAACGTATACGGTACTTACCCAAGGACGCCACGGACAGTAGCAGCTACAACTTCCCAGGTTCGTACAACCCTTATTCACAGTATGTATATGCAAGAGTGACCAAAGGAGAATGAAAGAGAGAGAAAAGGACCATCCCTTGTTAACTGATAGTTGGTTATTTTTAAATTGTGTTAGGGATGCAGTAATGAAGGTAGGGAGTCATATTTCTTGTTAGGGAAATAAAAATAGACTCGGAGGGGAAGTGCTTTTGTCGAACATACAGGGAAACTAATGAAATGGATTTTTTTATTCTATTTTTGTTCACTTTTTTAAAGCTTGAGGAAGACTTGCTTTACAAAGGGAATCAGGTCTTGTTTGATGAAAGGATGTGCTCCCATGTTATCAAAATTTGAAAAAGATATCTCATCCTGATTCAAAGTTTTTTTTTTTTTAGCTTTATTAGCCTGGGATCCACGTATTTTAAAATGTGTGAGTGTGTGTGTGTGCTCGCGTGTGCGTGTGCGCGCGCGGATGTGAACGCCCTCCCACTACCATTCACGCACCCCCCTTTCCCCCTACAGAACGGGGAGCTGATGTATGCCGAGCTCTCCTTCCCCCGCGGGGGCAGTACCCCCGGGACCCTCCCCCGCCGGAAGCCTGAGCCCACTATCTACGCCCAGATCGACCACGGCCTCTCCAGCAACGTGCCGCCCGTGTCCATGGGCGTCGTGCCCGTGAGCAGCGGCATCATGGGCGGCACGAGCATGTGTCCGAGCACCAGCCTCTCGGGCGCCCCCATCTGCAGCAGCGGCATGATGGGCGGAGGCATGATGGGCGGGGGCGGACCGCCCATCCTGATGGGCAACCCCGGCATGGTGCCCGGAGGCATACCCATCGGGGACGTGAGCATCGCCGCCTACACCACGCCCGCGCCGCCCCCGCACGGCTTCGGCGGCCACCCGCTGGCGCCCGCGGTGGTGCCCGAGGAGGACGAGCAGGCCACGGCCGAGACGCCGCTCATGACCAACCCGAAGGAGAGCGAAGTGTGACCCTTGGACACGCAGGTGTGAGCCGCCCGCGCCTGACCTGGGCGGGGCGGACTCCAGACGCCTGACCTTAGTGAACGGAAACGCCCGACCCTTTGGAACGGGGACGGAAGAGCCCGACCTCAGTGAACGGGAGATGCCTGACCTTAGTGGAACCGAGCAACGGAACTTTCCCGACCTCGGTGGAACAAGTGAAAGGAACCGCCTGAACTTAAGGACTTGCGTTGGGCGGGAGATGCTTGACCCTAGTGGAATGACCTTGTTCTCTGCGGCGTGGAAGGAAAAAGTTTCGTTCAAAGTGCTTCATTCCGGACCGAAATGAGGAATGAAACCCGACACTTTATTTGTCCTTGCTCTCGTTTTCCTTACAAAATATATCTAATTAGTGCGAATATAGTGCAAGAAGAAGTGCAAGATTCGACATGACGGCTGAACACAGTATTAGAAACTGTTCATCTGAATCCATGTGAATAGGGCCGCATCCCTGACCTTATAGCATCTTCCACGTAAAAAGAATTAGTGTTCGACGGAGGGATCGGACTCCAGGCATTCTCTACCAAGAGGGTTGAATCCTTCTTCCGTGCTTTTTATATTAAGGACATAGAGTTCTTGTGTCAACCTTGGCGTAAGTCACATCAGCTTCCAAATAAGTGGTAATCACTTTTTTCCTATGAAGTGGACACAGTAGTATATTTTTCTTGGTTCACACACACACACACACACACACACACACACACACACACACACACACACACACACACACACACGCACACACACACACACACACCACACACACACACACACACACACACACACACACACACACACACACACACACACATACACATACACACACACACACACCCACAACACACACACACACACACACACACACACACACACACACACACACACACACACACACACACACACACACACACACACACACACACACACGCACACACACACACGCACACACACACACACACACACACACACCCCCACACACACACACGCACACACGCACACACACACACACACACACACACACACACACACACACACACACACACACACACACACACACACACTCACTCACTCACTCACTCACGCGCATACACAGATATACGATTATTTTTTGCTGATGTACCTATATTTCTAGTTAACGGAAGAGTGTCTTCAAAGAAAGTCAATTAAGTGAGAGAACAATTAATCACTTAACGGACAAGTGGATTTCCTGAATTAAAAACTAACATTGTAAATATAGAAAAAATATGAATAAAGTTTAGCTTTCGAAGAATCCTCACATTTCTTCTGTTAAAATAAAGAACTTTTTACAATTATTCTTTACATTCCAAAGAGTCGACGGAACAATGTGCTTGTGTATGAGAACTAGAATTCTTTGTATAAGAAACTGATAGTATATGGAATCCCATATAGATTTATATATCGATTGTTGATATACATTTCGAATGAGATGATTATATGATAAAAAAAAAAAAAACAAAGAAATGCTAGTCAGTTATAGAGACTGGCAAAAATCAGTCTTCTAAGGTTATTGAAGTTGAGCTTTGGCCTTCCATGACATTGGAATGAGGGACCAGTTTACTTCTGAAACGATATCGGATAACAGGGAACGTGTCTGTGGCATGTCTGTAACATGTTCCGGCCGGTGAGAGAGACTTATCTGTGTTGCATATCCCATGCCTATAATCAACCTGTTTTTAGGTAAGCGAAATGGCAGACGGAAAGGTATATATATATAAAAAAAAGTTGTTTTGGCAGAGGACGAGGATCTGCCATGCTTCTTTAATTAAGCAAAAGTAATAGTGGATGTTCGCATATATATAAATATATATGGACTTCATGTAATTTGGGGAAATACGTTTTGAAAGACAAAAAAATAAAAAAATAAACATGTGTGTAGGGTTAATCTGCTGTGTACATGTGTCGCTTACCTTCTTGTTAGAGCTCGCATGTTGTATGAAGTAAAAAAAAAAAAAAGGAAACTATTTCATCATATCTTCCCTGATATACTATGTCAGCTTTGGTGTCTGCAAGCTGATGTTTAATTTTTTGGCAGACACATCTTGTCTTATATTAGGGGGGAAAAAGTGCTAAAGTTTTATGACAATTACTTTGTTCTTCATGAAATTGAAAAAGTGTTTCCCTTTTTTTCATCAGGTTATATATTTTTTGCTATGAATTATGTTTCCATTTCCCCAACGTTTCATAAAAAGTCTATCAATATAAATTCCATATGCACATGATACAAATATAGATTAACGATTTTTCAGTCTTACACACTTTGAGGGAAATGCCATGAGAGAGAAGGCCAGACAGGGTTCTAAGTATCCGCTGATACTTGGGCAAATATTTTATGAATTATTTTCATAACATCTTTTGATGTTGAGAAACCTCGCTAGTTCTAGCAAAAGACAAGATAGCTTATCAAATTATAAATAGGAACCAGCAGCATGTGTGACATGACGGATTACAAAAGGTTAACATGAGATTGTAAATAAATCATTTGCACATCTGTAATGTACATAAAAGATCAATTCTGTGCTTTTTCTGGTATTGACAAAAGGACGGTTTCATTATTCTGTAACAGTCCTTTGCATAATACGAATTTAAATAATTGATTTAACAGAAAAAAAAATGCAGTATCAAAACCCAAAAAGTCATTTCATTATGTTCAACCAACAGGTATTTCATATGTAGTCAGAATATGACTAACGGTTAGAAATGTGGTCGACAATATTTTATATTTCATTTTATTTAAT